TCCCCACTGTGCCAGGCAAGATGGAGCCCGAATTCAAGCCCTTCCCCTCCCCCTCCCTCCTCAGGTTCGTTTTTTTCCTTGCGGGTTTCTGGCTCTCACACTTCACCCGTGAAGATACTGGTCACATCAAATACAGGCAAGCATGGCGTCAGGCAGATGGTCCCTGGCGCTGATCGCTATAAGGATAAGCATTATGTCCCCTGAGCACGGGGTGACAGGTGTCACCCTGTCAAAGAGCTTCGGTCTCTTCTTACACTTATTTTTGTGGTGGTTGTTTTAAGATAGAGTCTCTCACTCTATAGCCCAGGCTGCCCAGAAATCACTAGCTAGCCTAGGCTGGCCTCAAGTGAATTGTAATCCTCCTGCCTCTGTCTACCAAGTCCTGGATCCTGGAATGACCTGTATGAGCCTCCATCCCCAGACAGTGTCCTCGTTTTTGTTTTTGTTTTTAAATGTGGAAATGGCACTATACTCTGATGGATACTGTTGTTTGGCTTGGTTTTGATGAGTCACTGCACATCTTCAGTGGAGACTGGGCCGTCCTCAGGGACCATCTCCAGTGTGAGCAGGAACAGTTCGGAGCCCATCTCAGAACCCACGATGCTGGGCAGGGAGCACCTGCCTTGCTTTGCATCCAAATGCCTGGTGCTTTGTGACACAGCCTCCAACTGGCTTCCAGAGTGACAGGAATGGATTGGAGCCCATCTTCTCTGGGGAGCCTTGGCACAGCTTCTGTGGTGGCCCATGTCGCCTGAGTGGCTCTCTGCCAGGCTGGCATCCTGACTGCTGGGCTGTGCCAAGATCTTCTTACAAATCCCTGGAGCTTGAAGAGGGGGAAGAGGGGGCTCTATGAAGTCTGCCAGCTCCTGTGCACTCACACACGACACGCATGCGCGCGCACACACACATACACACGCTCCCATGCATACCAGGGATTTATTTCCATCCCGGATCCTTACACATACAGATTCCTAGATGTGCATCTGTACTGAGGATGGCTTGGGCACCCACTCTTCCCTCTAGCTGTTGCCACGGTAGCCAGGCACATGAGATCTTGAAGCCATGGCAAGAGACCAGCAAGGAGGAGAAGTATCATGGGGGGGTGGGGGAGGATGGTAAGCATCAGCATGTAAGAGGACCATCAGCATGGAGGGGAGCACTACACTGCATGGAGGGGAGCACTACACTGCATGGAGGGGAGCACTACAATGGAGGAGGGACATCAGTATGGAGGGGAGCACTACACTGGAGGGGAGCACTACACTGGAGGGGAGCACTACACTGGAGGGGAGCACTAAACTGGAGGGGAGCACTAAACTGGAGGGAGCAATCAGCATGGAGGGGAGCACTACACTGGATGAGGAGCATCAGCACAGAGGGGAGCATCAGCATGAAGGGGAGCACTACAATGGAGGAGGGACACCAGCATGGAGGGGAGCACTACACTGGAGGGGAGCACTCAGCATGGAGGGGAGCATCAGCATGGAGGGGAGCACTACAATGGAGGAGGGACATCAGTATGGAGGGGAGCACTACACTGGAGGGGAGCACTACACTGGAGGGGAGCACTACACTGGAGGGGAGCACTACACTGGAGGGGAGCACTAAACTGGAGGGAGCACTCAGCATGGAGGGGAGCACTACAATGGAGGAGGGACACCAGCATGGAGGGGAGCACTACACTGGAGGGGAGCACTACACTGGAGGGGAGCACTACACTGGAGGGGAGCACTACACTGGAGGGGAGCACTACACTGGAGGGGAGCACTACACTGGAGGGGAGCACTACACTGGAGGGGAGCACTACACTGGAGGGGAGCATCAGCACACAGTATCAAGGAAGGATACACTGAAGTGGGGCTGACTGAGGCCTCCTAAAGGAAGGGGCATTTGGAACAGATGGGACTTCAGAGAAAGGTGGTATGGAAGGGAGACATTGTTTTCGGCAGTAGAGTGTATCTGAAGCCCAGGCAAGTGTTTCCACTGGTTTCAAAGGGGAGAGAGCAGATACCAAGGGTAGGCTGGGTCCCCATTACATAAGGTTTTTGAGTGCTAAAGTGAGGAGACCAGTTAAATGGGAAGAGGGAGCCATGATAGTCATGAAGGGAGGCCCTGGAAGCTGTACACAGGGGCCGGGGCGGGATGGGGCTCTAAAGGTCTGGGAAGGAGTATTGAAATCCTACCTGCTACACAGCCAGGCAGTGTGTGTGATTCCTTGGGAGAAAATGTTGCTGAGCTGGGGCTCCTGCATGCAATGGCTGAGCATACAACTGCACAGAGCCATGACAATGGGCTATCAGCAGAAGCAGAAGGATGGCTGGGCTGGAGCTTATCTTATGTGGGTGGTTTGGGTTTTGTTTTTTAAGTTTTATTTATTTGTTTTACTTTATGGGTGGTAGCCATCTTTGGGGGTCTTCAGGAAGATCCAGTTGGCTTGCCCAGTTTGTACCTGAGAGGGGGCGTGTGGATTGAGAAATGGCAGGTAAAGATGCTAAGGAAAAGACAGAGACAGAGATTAGAGTCAGGAGGGCAGTCCAGTGGATACTGAACCCCCCCCCCCCAAATTGTTCTCCATCTGCCCTGGGATAGCAGACAAAATGTAAGGCAATGAGCCCTCCGGACATTCAGCCAGTAGCTCTGGGAGGAGCCCAGGGCCCAGCATGAAGAGGAGCAAGGTGTGAGTGCATTTTTTTCTCACGGTCATGTGGGACACCCAAGGGTTGACTCCAAGGTTGGGCAAGGCAGCTGCCCCCTCAAAGCTTGTTGAAGGTGAGCCTGATTGGGGTGGGCTTAAGGGCTTCAGAAGCTGAGCCAGCTAGAGCGAGGGATGTTGGGAACCAGGGAATCTTCCAGACCTGACAACTTTTCCTTGCCCTGGGCAATTATAAAGCCACAAATCACGAAGAAATGGTGACATCAGCACCTTGGGGACCCTAATGGAATCCTGCGTTATAAAAATTCAATCAGCCAGCTGAGCTGGTATGAGTTCAAGCCAGTGAGGCTGGGGTGGATGAGGATGTTACAGGCAGGAGGACCCTCAGAGTCTGACAGACACCCTTCCATTAACCCCCTATTTTCAGACTGGCTGGGATCAGCATCTTTGGCTACATAATGAGTTCTCCCCTACCTGGGCTCCATGAGCTTCTATCAAATGGGGGGGGGCAGTGGAAATGGGAGCAAGGACAGAGCTAGGCCACCCTGGACAGCCACAGACACTAACTCATTGGATGTGACTTACCGTCCTGCAAACTGCTCCCACTTCAGAAAAGTGGGAGGTGACAGGAGTCATCATAGATGGCCCCTGAGAAGGCAGCTCCAGTTTCTAATGTGGGCAGCAGGTCAAATCTCAGGGGTGGGTTCTGGGCTCTGAGGGGCCCAGCTGTGTCTCAGAGGGCTTGACCACGGGCAGAGGTTTGTGCCGAGAAAGGACTTCTAGACTAGTCTGGAAGGATCCTCAGCCTCAGGTGACTTTTTTAAAATGTGTATGGGTGTTTTATCTGCGTGTGTCTCTATGCATTATCTGCATATGTGTACACAGTGCCAGTGGAGGCCAGAACAGGGTGTCGGATCCTCCAGAATTGACGTCAGAGATGGTTGTGAGCTGCCATGTGGGTGTCGGGAACCAAGCAACAAATGCCCCTAGCCACTGAGCCATCTTCCTAGCCCCATGAGGACAATCCTTTGTTGGGGGACCAAACTGCATTGTGGGGTGCTCACCAGCTCTTTTGGCCCCTTCCCGTCAGAAACCGTTAGCATCATCCAGTTTTGACACGTGAAAGTGAATCCAGCGGTGCATGGGGACTCGTGCCTGTACTCCCCAGCAGGCAGAACGCTGAGACAGAGGGAGCACCATGATTTCAAGGGCAGCCCCAGCTACCGAACATGATCCTGTCTAAAAAATAAGGAGTAAATTAAATTTAAAAAGGAAAAGAATGCAGATGGTGGCAATACACACATTTAATCTCAGCACTCAGGAGGCAGAAGCAGGCAGATCTCTGAGTTTGAGGTTGGCCTGGCAGGAGAGGGGGGGAGGGGGGAGGGGAGGGGAGAGAAGGGAAGGGAAGCCAGATGTGGTGATACACACCTTTAATCCCAGCACTCAGGAAGGCAGAGGTGGTTGAATCTCTGTGAGTTGAGGCCAGCCTGGACTGCTTTAGTTCCAGACCAGCTAGGACTACTTTGAGACCATGTCTCAAGGGGAGGTTTATAAGCTTAAGAGAAGGTTCAGTTAGGTTAAGAAGCTCTTATTGCTTGTCTTTCTTGCAGAAGATCTGAGTTTGGTTCCCAGCACACATGTGAGGCTTCTGACACCCCTGCTCCAGAGCACCCAACGCCCTCTTCTGGCCTCTTCTGGCATTGCACTCTTGTGAGAGACACATACTCGTCTAACAACATTTGAAAAGGGAGAGTACAGGCAAGACATTCAGTGGGTAAAGGAACTTGCTGTGAGTGGAATGACCAGAGTTTGATACCTGGCACCCACGAGTAGAAGGTCCTCTGACCTCCACATGCACACAATAAATGAATAATTGTAACTTAATGGGAAAAAAAAAATTCAGACAGGGTTTCTCTGTGTAACAATCCTGGCTGTCCTGGAACTCACTCTGTAGACCAGACTGACCTCAGACTCACAGAGATCCACCAGCCTCTGCCTCCCAAGTGCTGGCTTACAGGTGCGATCTACCACACTTGCCAATGTAATGAATTTTTAATCCTTCCCCACAAAGGGAAGAAGTTGGGCGTTCTTGCCTGCAGTTACAACACAAGGGGATCGATTCAAGCGTATTCCGGGCTCCCAGAGACTCTATCTCAAAAACAAAACAGAACCTCAACAGCAATCCAAAACATTTCAAAAGTTAAAACAAAACGTGTCCAGGGAGCAGAGCCTCCTCCACCCCTATGGGGAAAACAGTTTGGATAACCAGGTGCAAACGCAGAGCTTTGTGAGGGGCTGTGGGGAGGCGTTCTGTACTGTTCTCATGATACTGTTTTTCTTTCAGGGAGAACTAATGGCAGGGCCCACTGTCCCCAAGGTCCCCATGCTGTTCTTGGTCCTCCTGCTGTTCCCGGAGCTCCACGAGGCAGGCACCTTCGCATCTGGATCCTCTGCCCAGAACCTGCCCGAAACCCCTCCCCACCTCCCCAGCTCCACACTTTGGGTGCCTCAGGCCAGCCATCATGGCCGAAGGGGCCTGGGCAAGAAGGACAGGGGTCCAGGCATGCCCAGCCGGGCCCAGGAAGGGGCTGTGCTCACTGCCACTAGGCAGGCTTCGCGGATATCACTTGGACAGCGCCCCGCTGGCCTTCTGCAGAACAAGGAGATGCTTCTGGGGCTGGCATTGCCCTATTCTGAGAAGGAGCCGCGCTCTTCCGGGTGGGAGAGGATGAAGAGACGCGGCAGAGAGCACAAGAGGCGCAGGGACCGGCTGCGACTGCATCGAGGTAGCTGGAGCCCTGCGAGCCCTGCACTCGGGGAAGGCTCTAGGTCAATGCTGAGGGCAGGAAGTGGTCAGAGGACCAGTGTTTTAAGTCCGGGAGAGAAAGGGGCAGAAGTGGGCTTCTAGAGGAGGGCGTGCAGCTTAGTCAATTCGGAGTGGTTTGCTAGGGAGAGGAAGCAGGGAGAGGCGGCGGAGGGGCCGGGACAGAGGTGGAGAAATGAACTCGAAATGGAAGTTCTGCCTCCTTAAGTGATCAGTTGTCCTAGACCAGGGAGATCTACCTTGCATCTGACCTAAATCTAGCCGACTCTAAGCCCTGTCTGCCTACTGAGAAGAGTCGGGACCTTCCTGCCCCACATCCTTTAATGAGCTCCTGAACCGAGAGGGAAGCTGAGAGCTTGGACTCTGCAGCCAGATCTGCCGAGACCAGTGTCCGACTCCACTACTCACTAGTCTGTGGCCTTGGGAAAGCCACCTTCCTGAGCCTCGGTTTGTCCCTCTGCAGAGATACCGCCCAACCTTAGTGTAGGGGGAGGTGACCCGATGCTCAGAGCTTTTAGGCTTAGGCTCACCGAAGCAATTGCTACTAAATCCTCGGCGGCTCTCAGGTCAGCACCCTCCAACCCTGCACACCAGTGACCCCATGTGGCGGTCAGCTGTCTGTCACGGTGAACAGACTGCTGTTACAGGGATTCAGAGGCTAGGGTTGCTTGGACCTGTAGCGAGGCAGAGCCTCATGGAAGTAAAGTAGAGCTGCTCACTTCATGGTGTCTGGTGGCTGTGAAGACAAGCAGGAGGGAGTGGGGGGGGGCTGAGAGAAGGGACAGAGCAACTGCCACAGATGGGCTGGCGGGGGTGTTTCTCTAGGAAGGAAGCAGGTCATGCCTTCTCCTGCAGATAGTGAGGGCGAGGGTGCTTGCCTCCCTGCAGGTCATCTGAGAGAGACCCCCACATGGCTAGAGCAAGCTTCGTCACATGTCCTTCCATTCTCCTCCCGTTCTTGGGGGTCCCTTGTGCCAATTTGGAAGCTGCTGATACCTGAGGACCAGCAGGAGGGCACAGTACACACGGAGCCCTTAAGTTCCACGTTCCTTAGCGTCGGTGAAGTGGCAGGGCCCTCCTGAGGGAGGGTGACATGGTGGCAGGGGACAGATGAAGTCCACAGGCCAAGCCAGTTCATCATCACTCGTGAAGCTTCAGGCTGACCGGGTTCATTTCTGCAAAGCGGGGTGGCACCAAGGGATCCAAGACAACTTATAGCGGTGTCTTGCAAGGACACCTTCTGACCTGGTCCTGTAGTTTGTGACCCCGTGCCCTCCCACTCTCCCACACCTGAGTGTCTTCAAAGGTAGCTCCAGGAGCTTAAGAATATTGGCTTCCCACTCAGGATGGAGGTTCACACCTGGGCCCTGACACACAAATGCTATGTGTCCTCGGTGGAACCGCCTTACCTCTCTGGCTTGGGTTCCTCCATGTAGAAGAGCAGCAACCACTTCTCAGAGTCCCTGCAGCAGTTAGAGGAAGTAACTATTGTGAAGTGGTGTGTGGGTAAGCCCTGGCTCTCCAGCCAGCTTTCTCAAAGTCCTGTCCCCAAGCAGTGTCCCTCAACCTCCATGAGCCTCACCTCCTCCAGGAAGCCTTCAGTGTTTGTTTTTTCAAGATTTTTTTTTCCTAGGCAGGGTTTCTCTGTGTAGCTTTGTAGACCAGGCTGGCCTCGAACTCACAGAGAACTGTCTGCTTTTGCCTCCCAAGTGCTGGGATTAAAGGCTTACATCACCATGCAGCAGGATTTATTTATTATGTAGTATTCTGTCTGCATGTATGTCTGCAGGCCAGGAGAGGGCACCAGATCTCATTACATATGGTTGTGAGCCACCATGTGGTTGCTGGGAATTGAACTCAGGACCTCTGGAAGAGCAAACAATGTTCTTAACCGCTTCTGTGGTTTTATGTCCCTGGCTGCCTCCAGGCATCCTGGACCCAGACCTACTCCAGAAAAATCCTCTAACCAGCCCCTTTCCCCCAGTGACTGCTGTTCCAGTTCTCTAGCAGGGTAGACAGCAAGGATGTTGGGCAGGCCAAGGGCCCGTGATGCCCAGTAGGCATTGGCTTACAGCAGAAAAGTCGGGCTTCCCTGTGGGTAGACACTGAGCAGCAGGGCAGTCAGCCTGTGCTTGCCTTGCCTCAGGCCGAGCTGCCATCCGTGGCCCCAGCTCCCTAATGAAGAAAGTGGAACCCTCTGAAGACCAGATGCTGGAGGCTGCCACAGAGGAGTCCTCTACCAGCCTGGCACCCACCGTGCTCTTCCTAACCACGGCAGACGCTGCCACACCCACCACAGAAGGGTCCCGGATCCTGCCCGTCACCTCCCTGCGGCCCCAGGTAAGGGCATGTGGCCTTGTTACTCATACCTTCTGTCAGGATTCTCCAGAGGAACAGAACTGATAGACTTAAGGTATATATCCAAAAGAAATTCATTGGAGTGTGTAGCTGGAGACTTCTCTGTGTCCCGCCCAGTCCTGCAGCCATTTATAAAATAATCATTCAGAGTCTTAATGTTAATTGCAATTGTTTGACTGATGGCTAGCTCTTACATTTAAATTAACCCAGTTCTATTCTTCTGTGAATCGCCTCATGGCCCATGACTTACCGATAAAACTCTGACATCTTACTCCTCAGGCAGCTGCTGGCATCTCTCTGCACTCTGCCTTCTTTCTCCCTGTATTCAGTCTGGTTTTCCTGCCTACCTACAGTCTGCCGCAGGCCACAGCAGCTTTATTCATCAACCAATAAAAGCAATACATGTTTGTAGTGTATAGAAGGACATCCCACATCCGTGGTGGCTCACAGGGTGTGGACCAGACGGTCCAGAGGCTGTTGTCTCCCCATGGAAAGGCAAAGAATCAGGGAGCTGTTTGGTCCATGAAGCTGGATATCTCAGCTGACCTTTTCAATGTTGCAATACTGAAGAAGCGGGTTCTAATACCAGCAAATGCCTCAGCAGCAGGACAGATGGACTTGCCACCAAAACTGAGGACAAGCAGACAAAAAGTGAAAAGTCCTTCTTCCATGTCCTTTCATGTGTGTGTGTGTGGGGGGTACCACAAGGTGAGGCCCAGATTTAGGGTGAGTGTTCTCACATCCAATGATCTAGTCGAGACAAATCCCTAACAGGTGTGTCCAGCTGCTTGAGTTTTAGTTGATTTAGCTCCTGTTCTACTTAGGTAAACTGAGGCACAGCAGAAGGGTGGTAGTGGAAGCCAGTGCAGCTTCAGCATACCGATGTCTACACACATAGAGGTGGGACCCTTGGGGAGGGCCTCTAAAGTCTAGGAGAGTTTGGAAAGCAGCCACAGAGACTTAAAAACCCATGACCTAGAGTGGCATAGATCAGTGAGTTGGCTGAGCTGTCTACTCCCCAAGTCTGAAAAAGTAAATGGGAAGCAGAACAGAGATGCTCACACAGATCTGACTGCTCACCAGAAGGAGGCAGGAGTTCAGCAGGTCATTGTTGCCTATGAAGGAGTCAGGTCATTCTCTCCTATGGCTTAGAAAGTTTTGTTTTTTAATTTTATGTGCACTGGTGTTTTGCCTGCATCTATGTCTATGTGAGGGTGTCAGATTCCCTGGAACTGAGTTACAGACAGATGTGAGCTAACATGTGGGTGCTGGGAATTGAACCTGGGTCCTCTGGAAGGGCAAGCAGCCAGTGCTCTTAACTGCTAAGCCATCTCTCCAGCCCCTTAAAGGTTTTTTGTTTTGTTTTGTTTTTCCTAAAATAAAATGATTCAAGGCCAGATGTGGTGGCTCAAACCTACAATCCCAGCACTTAGGAGACAGGGAGTTGTCACCACATTGATGAGGGTTCTAGACCAACCTGAGCTACAAAGTGAGACCCTGTCTCAAATTAAAACAAAACACCCAAAATGAAATAACACCATTGAACTGGATCAATAATACATGATATATAAATATGTATTATTCATATGACATATGAATGTAATGCGTAGCTCAGTTAGTAGAATGCTCCCTTAGCATGCACGAAACCCTAGGTTTGATTCCCAGCCTTGTAAAACACAGATGGGGTGTTGCATGCTCATAATCCCATAATTCAGGAGGTGGAGCCCAGAGGATTAAAGTTTAAGGTGATCATTGGCTGCATAGTGACTTTGGAGCCAGCCTGGGCTACATTAGAGGGAGAGAAGGGAGGGAGGGGAGAAGGGAGGGAGGGAGGAAGGGAGGGAAGGAGGGAGGGAGAGAAAAGATAAAGCCATATCCCTCTATTGCAATCCACTGCTGTGGGGCTGTTTTGTGAGTTCTTGTTAATCTCTTACTGTGCCTCATTTAAGCTGATATTTTTTATCATTTTAATTATGTGTATATGGTATGTGCACATGAGTGGAGCTGCCTTTGGAGGCCAGAGGCAACAGATACCTTGGAGCTGGGGTTACAGGCACACATTAAACACCTGATGTAGCTACCGGGAACTGAACTCAGGTCCTCTGCACTCTTAACTGCTGAGCCATTTCTCCAGCCTTGATTGCCTGTGCCTCATTTGTAAATTAGACTCATAAGAGGTGAGTGTGTGTGTGTGTGTATGGTGTGTATGTGTGGTGAGTGTGGTGTGTGTGTGTGTGTGTGTGTAAACAGTGTACAAACAGGGTTCAGCTCTTCCAGGCATCATTGGCTGGTTGAACCATATCTCCTGAGCATCAGGAAATGGCGGTGGATTTTCTTTGTCCTCTTCATCTCGTACTCCAGAGAATTTGGCAAAACCTAAGGCCATGAGCAGTAGTTACAATCTGCGCCTTGCTGAGCCCTGGTGATGATGTACATGAGGACACAGCCGTGATATCTGGTCCTCAGTAGTTTCCAGGGTATTGGTCATAGTTGTGAGTGATCTGTGTTGCAAGTGTGTGGGTGCCCATAAAGATGGCTGCACTCCATCTTGGCACAAGGGCAGAGAGTTCAAAGCTGTCAGCAAGTCACCTAAAGGTCAAAGGTGTGGCTACAGAAGGATGTTTCAGCTGTCTTAGTCTAAATAACAACAGCCCTGTTGGAGTTAAGGTGTGGCTACTGAACCCTTAGAATAAGCGAGGAAGAAATGTCTGTTTGTTCCATTTACATGATACTGTGTTCCCCTTTTTTGGTTATGGTATATAAGAGTGGTGAAAAATAAACCCGAGTGCTGGGATTAAAGGTGTGTGCCACCAATGCCCAGCTCGCCCTCCTGATCTTTATTCTGTCTCTGTCTTTGTTTTTATTGTCTATAGCTAGCCTTTCCCTCCTTCACACTCCCCCCACTCAGGTATGGACTTGGGGCCAGCTTGGCTGGCTCCAATTGCAGCCCCACAAAGACCGCTCCCAACATGAGTGTGTCAGGGTTGTGAGTGTGCCTGTGCTGTGAGTGTGCCTGTGCTGTGAGTGTGTCAGGGTTGTGAGTGTGCCTGTGCTGTGAGTGTGTCAGGGTTGTGAGTGTGCCTGTGCTGTGAGTGTGTCAGGGTTGTGAGTGTGCCTGTGCTGTGAGTGTGTCAGTGTTGTGATTGGGCCTGTGATGTGAGTGTGCCTGTGCTGTGAGTGTGTCAGGGTTGTGATTGGGCCTGTGCTGTGAGTGTGTCAGGGTTGTGAGTGTGCCTGTGCTGTGAGTGTGTCAGGGTTGTGAGTGTGCCTGTGCTGTGAGTGTGCCTGTGCTGTGTGTGTCAGTGTTGTGATTGGGCCTGTGCTGTGAGTGTGTCAGGGTTGTGAGTGTGCCTGTGTTGAGAGTGGGTCGGGTTGTGAGAGAGATCAAGGCCCGTATGTGGTCTCTACAGTACCTTGAGAGGAACCACAGAGAAATGAGCAATGGGTCCACCTCTAATGCCCCCCCCCATGGGCTTCAAATCCTGAACAAGTAGATCAGCCTCCCTCGCCATCACCTAGAATCTTCTCTTGGGAGGCTCCAGGTCTCCTCCCTGCCTCGTCTTCTGCAGGCGCAGCCCAGGTCTGATGGGGACGTGATGCCCACACTGGACATGGCCTTATTTGACTGGACTGACTATGAGGACTTAAAGCCAGAGGTGTGGCCTTCTGCAAAGAAGAAAGGTAAGTCTACCTTGCCCTCCCGCCCCGTGCTGGGCTCCTCTCTACTGAGTGAGGACATTTGCTGAGTCCAGGGTGACGCACAGGTGTCCACAGGGCTGGAGTGCATCAGTCAGGCTGGGCCCGGCACTCCCTGTGACGGACAGCCTCCCCTCCCCTCCCCTGCACACTAGGCAGCTCCCATGTCTCTCACAGGGAGACGGGCTAGGGACCCTGCGTTAGGGAAGAAAGTGAGGCAGAGGGTCTTGTCCCAGTCACACTGCAGGGGTGGCCACTGACACAGTGACACCCAAGTCTTGTGCTTAATGTGACCCCCAGTTTCCTTGTCCCCAGAGAAACACTGGAGTCACTTCACCAGTGGCGGTAACGAGACAACACCAGCTGAAGCAGAACCATGCGACCATCACCAGGATTGCCTGCCAGGTACCCTGGTACCCAACACCCACACTGGACACCAGGCTGGGCGGGCGGGAAGGCCCGGAAGGCAAGTGAGGCCTTCTGACAAGGGAGCAAGCCTGAGCGTCACGACCCTTTATGCACTGTAAATGGCAGCTACAGCAGCCACCGTTTCCAGAGAGGCACTGCCTTACACTAACTCAGATGGACAGAAGTGGGGTGAGGTGTGAGTCGAGACCGACTGACTTCATTTTCAGGCAAAGCAGGACAATGAAGACCCAGAGAGGCTAGGGGCCCGTTTCCAAGATCAGACAGCCTGGATCTGCTTGGATCCTAAGCTTCTTACCCACAATCCACCCTACCCTGAGTGGACTGCTCTGCTCCTGACCTTGGCCTCTTGACAAACACAGGGGTTAATTCGGTCCCCTCAGCGTGACACCCACTGCCTGGCTTTCTGGGGATGGGTTCAGTGACACCCTCTCCTGGTCAGCAGCCCTTCCCCAGCATAGCAGGATGAACACAGGGGCCTGCTGTCTGACTAGAGTCTGCACCGCTGCCCTGTGGTGTCCGGTGAACCTAGAGCAGACTCGGAGGTGTGCTTAGAGGGGAACACCTGTCCTCACAGCACTCGGGCATCGAAGGGAGGAGGGTCAGGGGTTCAAGGTCATCCTGGGGTGCATAGGGAGCTGAGAGCCAGACCCTGTCTTGGGGGATGCTTACCTGGGGTGTTGGTGGTGACACTTATATTCAAGGCAGGAGACCTCGGGCCTGAGGTCATGCTGGCTCAAAGGGAGCTGTGGAGAAGAGCCTGGCTTGCCAGGGAAGCCACCTGCTGGGCAGAAGTGGTGGCCCTGGCCTCAGCCATGCTGCTGAGGGAGGGGGTGGTTGGGACATGCTCACAGCATGTGAAACTGCTCACAGCAGGAGGTCAGTGACTTTACAGATGTCCCTTATTGCTACCAAATAATGAGGGCTTTGGGATATGGGGGCAGGGGAGACTGGAGTGGCCGTCTCCAGGCATCATCAGCAGGATATTCTGCAAAAGAGTAGCCATTTGTTATTGTAGATGTGGGACACCAGCCCAGACAGGCTGTCCGTTCCTACATCACTGCCTGCACTCTTGAGTGTGAAGAAAAGGTTGGAATCAAGGCCAGCAGGACGGTTACTTGGAAGCCAACTGTGTACTGGGCAAAGAGACGCCTCAGGCCTGCCTAGGGTATCCCTGCTGCCACCCAAGGCTTCAGTCCTCCCCATCTGTCCAAGAAGATGTTGACGCCCATGATCCCTGGGGCCCCTCCCGGCTCTCAGCTGGCTCTCGCTCTGGCACCCCTAGCTGTTTACAACCCTATCCCTGGGAGGTGAACCCCACACCACCTTTGATCCTCCCATGATCAATCAAATGGCCCATCTGGGGAGACTTGGGTCTCTGCCACCCTCCTCCGGGGATTTCATCCATGACATCTAACAGGAGTTCCGGCCTGGAGCCTTATACACCAGATGGCCTGCCAGGGCATGGCCTGCCACACATATGATAGATCTCCTGTCCAGTGGGACTCTGTGCAGGGCGGTGGGGAAGAGCCGCTCAGCTTGGCTGACCACATGTGTTTGCTATGTTGCCAGGAACTTGCTGTGACCTCCGGGAACATCTCTGCACGCCCCACAACCGCGGCCTCAACAACAAATGTTTTGATGACTGCATGTGCATGGAAGGTCAGTCTGGACGCTGGGGGGGGGGGAGCCCCCTCCCCACCATGCTCCCAGAACCATGAAGCCTTTGTTGTCCAGCCAGCTCTGCGAGTGGGGCATGAGGTTTCCCGGCAGAGGGTGGATATGATGGAGGGGCCTGGGGAGAGGGAATGGGTAGGACAATCCCCTGGGAGCTGAAGGCATCAGTAGGAACAGCTTTGCTGGGCTCTTCCAATCTGTCAGCTCAATGCGTCTTCCTTCCTGGCATCGTTTCTGATTTGTGTTTCTCACCTCTTGAAATACAAGCTGGTGTGATCACTCAGGATCAGGACAGGGAGAAGCGAGGAGGCAGGAACACGTCTCTTTAAATAAAAGCCCAACCTGAGAAGTCGGGCATGTTCTCTGCAGAATTCTAGATGAAAGGCTTCCCAAGTGAGACGGTGGGGAACAAGGAGAGGGTGAGTTTCCCAGAAGTCATAGGGAAGGGCTCACTGGATTACTGGTTTAACTGCTCTGAGCACCCTCCTCAAACGGAAGGATGTGCCCCGTGCACACATGTGGCCATTGGTGCCTGTCCTTTCCTTCCTGGAATCATCACAGTCGCCCCTGGAAGGAAGATTTTATGAGTCCCACTTCGAAAGTGGGGTGAGGTGACTTACTCAAACTCATATTTAGGAGAGTGTGAGGGCCTTGGAAGAACACCTTGGTAGTAGAGTGTTTGTCTCAGCAAGGATAACAACAAAACGTCTGAGGTAGAGCTACGTTGAGTCACACAGGCAGGCCTCAAACACATGAACCTCCTGCTTCTACCTCAAGCAGCCGGAATTAACGGGCTATGGCATCATTGTGGGCTCTCTCCTTCCTTCTTTGTTTCTTGTGTTTACTTTTATTTTTATCACAGGAAGAAAGAAAGGAATGAGGAAGAGAGAGAAAAGGAGAGGCCAGGAGGGGAGAGGGAAAAGGGAAGGAATTGAAAAAGTTGCCTGTGGTGGCATCCCAGCATTTGAGAGCCCGAGGCAGGGCAATGGTGAGTTTGAGGCCAACTTAGGGTGCACAAGTGACACCTTGCTTGGAAAACAACAAGCCACTGCTAGCAATTGGCCCGGGATGTAGAGGGACTTGCCCCGAAAGCCTGGTGACCTGTGTTCAGTCCCTGGAACTGTGGTAAGCAGGGAGGGAGAGGGCCAACCAAAATTGTCCTCTGCCCTTCACCTGTGCACTGTGGGATGTGTACACGGCCCATCGCTCATACACAAAAATAAGGTAAAATAGCCAAAAAAAAAAGATAAAAGGGAATAAGGAAGGAAGGAAGGAGGAAGGAAGGAAGAAGGAAGGAGGAAGGAAGAAGAAAGAAAGGAGGAAGGAAGGAGGAAGGAAGGAGGAAGGAAGGAAGGAAGGAAGGAAGAAGAAAGAAAGGAGGAAGGAAGGAGGAAGGAAGGAAAGAAGGAAGGAAGGAAGGAGGAAGGAAGGAAGAAGGAAGGAAAGAAGGAAGGAAGGAAGGAGGAAGGAAGGAAGGAAGGAGGAAGGAAGAAGAAAGGAAGGAAGGAAGGAGGAAGGAAGAAGGAAGGAAGGAAGGAAGAAGAAAGAAAGGAGGAAGGAAGAAGGAAGGAAGAAGGAAAGAAGGAAGGAAGAAGAAAGGAAGGAAGAAGGAAGGAAGGAAGGAAGGAGGAAGGAGAGAGCCAGGGGAGGGGGAGGACAATGAGAGACAGCAATGATGTCAGACCTACCTGTAATTCCAGCTGCCTGAGAGGCAGGAGGATCATGTGTTTGAGGCCTGCCAATGCATGCAACTCAGCATAATTCTGCCTCGGGACTTTTAGCCCTGGCTGTCCTGGAATTCACTATGTAGATCAGGCTGGCCTTCAACTCAGAGTTTCACTTGTCTTTGCCTCCTGAGTACAGGGATTAAAGGCATGAACCACCATGCCCAATTGCCACAGAACTTCTCTAAAAAGGACTTGTTAGGTATGGGAGTGTACTACCGTTTTAGTCTCTGCACTCAGGAGGCTGAGGTAGGTGGATCTCTTGAGTTCAAGGCCAGCCTGGTCTATATACTAAGACCCAGTCTCTAAATAGATAAATACATACATTGATGAAGATATAGCTCAGTGGAAGAGTGCATGCCAGGCCTTGAGTTCAAACCTCTACCCATATGAAAGACAGGGCCAGGGATGGGCTGGAGAGATGGCTCAGTGGTCAAGAGCACTGGCTGCTGCTCTTGCAGAGGACCCAGGTTCAGTTCCCCACATCTGAATGGCAGCTCAGGACAATTCATAAGTCCAGTTCCAGGGGATCCAGCACCCTCTTCTGACCTTCACAGGCACCAAACATGTATGTGGTACACATATGCATAAGCAGACAAAACATTCAGATTCAAAATAAATCATTTTTCTTTTTGGTTTTCCAAGACAGGATTTCTCTGTGTAGCCTTGGCTCTCTGGAACTCACTCTGCAGACCAGGCTGGCCTCAAACTCAGAGACCCACCTGCCTCTACCTCCCAAGTGCTGAGATTACAGGCATGTACCACCACTGCCCAGCCTCAAAATAAATCTTAAAAAATGTTAAAGAGAAATATGAAGGAGATAGGTAGGAAAAGAATTCTACTTGTCTTCAGATCTGCACTGCTGAAGTCAAAGTATCATGGTGGTCCCTGTCACCTAGCTTCAATAAACGCGAACAGGGGCCATCCTGGGAGGGGTTGTTGCATCCACACACTTCCCTCCATTTCAATATGATCTTTACGTCTTTACACAGTATTACTTTTGGCACACACCTCTGAGAGATAAGCACCCTTTTAAAAGCAAGGTGTCTAAATTGCCAAGCCAAGCGTTATCTAACCTGCATTCCAGGCTCTGAGGGCAGATTCCTCCCCTAGGTGCTGTGTGAACCTGGGCCACACACCAAGTCTAGTTCATGGTAATCAAGCCTGCAGCTTCTCCACTCCTGTGTTATGTTTCGGTGAAATGAGATGTTGAGAAACAAACCCATAGATAAGCTGTCTCTGGAGCGGGGCATGTGATCTCAGCACTCCAAGTGTAGCGATCAGAGACTCATGAGCTCGAGGTCATCCTCAGCCACGTATGGGGTTCCATCCGGGGCAGCCTGGGCTATAGAGGGTCTCATATCCACCACCCACACACACACACCCGAGAAGAGGAAAAAGGGAAAGAAAAAGTCAGAGGGCCGTAAAGAAAGCCTGAAAGGTTGGCTGGTGTGTCCCCCAGGGTGTTCTATAGAGTCCTTAGGAAAAGAGCAAAGAGTGGGTGATGGAGGTTGAAAGAGAGCCCGAGGGGTTCCCGTAGGAGGCAGAAAGAAGGAGCAGGGGCCTTGGGCAGGCACAGCCTGGCTTGTCGCGTAGTGACACCAGAAGGCTGGAAATAAGGAGAGGCAAAGCTTCGAGAACCACCCTGACTTTGCTGCCCTCACTGGGTTTTGTTTCCTTAGTGATTGGAAGCAACGTCCGTGTAGAAGCAGAGGTGTCACGTGGTCTAGCCAGTACTGCCCTCACTAAAGCAGAGGGGCCACATGGTGTCTGGGGCTGAGGATGCGGCTCAGCTGAGCTGGCCTAGTGTGGGTTCTATCCCAGTGTAAATGGGGTGTGGTGCTGCATGAATAGTCTCAACACTTGGGAGGTGGAGACGGGGGAATCGGGAGTTCAAAGCCATTTCGTGTTGACTAGTATGGGACCGTGTGCCCCCCCCTAAAAATTGCAGGGGACAATTGAGGACAGGGAGCAGGCTGGAAGGTTAGAGAGGACATGTTGTAAGATGCTGTTGCCTGTGTTCAGAGCACAGGCCAGTTCACAGGAGCACAGTGTACGGGCAGTCTTTGAGTTCTGGGCTCCCAGTCCTTGGACTGAGCTCCAACCCAGGTCTGGCCAGGGGTTGTGGGAGGCTCTGAGGGGTAAAGCTCCTCCTGTGGGCCTCAGATGGCAAGGTGCTCACCCTGCTTTCTGGGAATCCCCGTGGTGTCCTTTTATACTGGTTGGTTCCACCCGCCGAAATTCCTGTTCCTCCCTGGAGACTCAGGTCCCAGGGACAGAAGGGAGAGTATAGGCTGCAGCCTGGAGAGCTCAGTACACATTAAAAATGGCCCGAAAGGAAGGGATTAACCCGGATGCCACACAGGGAGGACCTGAGAGGTACCAAGAGCTCTCATGGGGACCTCAAGTCCTGAGGACTCCCCTGAAATATTAAACCCAGGGCCCAAGGCTGGCATTCAGCAGGCCAGGCCAGCTAGGGGTCTCAAGGCTCCTAAGGGCTTTGGTAGATGCCCAACATTCCTGCTCCTGACTAACTCCCCCTCCTGGGACATTGTGGCCAGGGATTTGGCTTAGGGTAGAGCACTTCCTAGCTGCCCAAAGCCTTGGGTGCCTCACCCAGCGCCACATAAAACTAGGCCTGGTGGCACACACCTGTAATCCCAATACTTTGGAGATGGAGACAGGAGATTCAAGAGTTCAGGGTCATCCTCATCATGTCCTCATGGGAGGCCAGCCTGGTTCACAGGAGACCTTGTCTTAAAACTGTAACAAACTCTAGGCTTTCGATCACAAACTTCCCAGCAGCCCATGTGACCTACTATGATCTTAAGTGAAACACAGCTACTCACATCTCAGGCCCCAGTAGAGTGAGCCATGGGCTGGACACCTGCCCACTGGGGTTACCAGGGCCACGCTTGGGTTAACTAGGGTGTCTGGGAGAGACTTTGTGTGTTTCTGGGATTGTGTGTGTGTGATATGTGTAGGTGTGCATGCGCTAGGCCCATGTGAAGGTCAGAGGACCGCCACAATCTGTATCTAAAATTTTGCATACAGACCTAAAACTTAATAAAACATAATTGTAATAAGGCTATAAAAAAAGTGGGCTCATGCTCAACTCTTTTTTTTCCTAAATAGGAGATGAGGTGATGTGTAGTTCAGCGATAGAATGTGTATCTAATAGGCAAAGCTCCAGATTCAACATTTAGGTTTTGTATATTTAGTTAGTTAGTTTTGTGTCTGCTATGTAGTCCTGGCCAGCCTCGGCCTAAGTTCAGATCTGCTGCCTCAGTCTCCTGAGTGTTGGGACTTTTCGAGACAAGGTGGTGTGGAGGGGCTGAGGAATGAGGAATGAGATACCTGTGCAGGCTGGAGGGGAAGGGAAGGTAGGGGATGGTAACCAGCAGCCATGGCATCCTTGTCTCCTTCTGCTCAGGGCTGCGTTGCTATGCCAAATTCCACCGGAACCGCAGGGTCACTCGGAGGAAGGGGCGCTGCGTGGAGCCCGAGACAGCCAATGGCGACCAGGGGTCCTTTATCAACGTCTAGTGCCCCGAATGGTGCCTCCCCACCAGCTGCGGGTCTGAGCTAGGGAGGTTTGGACAAACAAGACCGCGTTAGTAACTAGCTCAGCTTGGGGCTGAGTGGGGGAACCAATGGCTGAGGCTGCGGGTGCAGGCCCAGTACACTCACCCCCAAGCTGGAGGACAGCTTTGGCTGAGAGCAGCTGTGCCTGCCACCCACCTCCCGGTGAGACCCACGCAGCTCACTGATCCTGCTCTACGTGATAGCCGGGTCGAGCGCGCCCTCTTCTGCTCTACACCAGCATTGCAGCAACTATAATTTGGAAAATCACGAGATTTCGCTGCCTGGAAAGAATTGGAAAGAGAGAGAGGTCACCTGACAGAGTGGCCCTGGAATGCTATGTCCCAGGCAAACTCCAAGTGCCACTGAATTTCCAGAGTTCGTGGCAAGAGACCACCGGAGCACACTTGAGTTGCAAGACTTATGCAAGGGTCACCCACGATCCTCCAGTGTTGGCAACAGACACAACTGTCTTCAGCCTTTCCTAGCCGAGGCTTATTGTCTTTTGAGGAGACAGAGTCTCATTCTTTGGCCAATCTGGCCTTTGGGAAACTCAGACAATCCTCCTGCCTCAGTCTTCCAAATGCTGGATTACCAGGCGTGAGTCAGCATATTTGGCAGGCGTATCGTTCTTTGAAAACAAAGCATGAGGGGCCAGTGAGTGGCTAAGATTATAATGCCTTCACCTGAGGCGCATGAACCCTGCCTTCCACCCCCAAGCACGGTGTCAAAGGCAGGCAGGGACCGCAGGATCACAAGTTTAAGGTCACCTTCGGCAAGTGTGAGGCCTGACGGCAGGAGACTGTATCTCACGCAAAGCAAAATGAGCCATTTGCTCAGCCAGCACAGGGCCGGCCCTGGGTCTGATCCCCACTCCTCATTCTCCTCCTGCTCCTACATCTTTCCCCAGCCCCGCCCCTCCACACGCGCGCGGGTGGGGGCTGCTCTCAGGTGAAGAACAATCCCCGCGGATGCGGATGGGTCCTTCCATCTGGCAGGTGCTAATCACAGGCATGAAGTGACTGAGGGAAATAGTAACTTCGCTGTTGTGCTATGACCTTGATCATCCAGCCCCGGAATATGGGGCCACCCCTCCTAAATTGTCCTCAGAACATCTACCCTACTGGAAAGCCACGCACACACACGTGTTCACTTGATACATTGTTTGGTGATGCCCAACCTCCCTGAGACCATCTCTGGACTCCATCCCTTTCACTTCAGCAGTAATGTCCCTTGGAAAGTGGGGTGCAGCCTTCGTGCTCACTGGCTAGAGCCATGATGACAACTTCACCGTTATCGTCACCACCCGGAATGTGTGTCCCAGCAGATCTGGTCCCAGAGAACCCTTTAGATTCCTGCACCTGGCATCTCCCTCCTGGTCAACTTTTGCAAAGGAAAACAGCCTTCCCTGCAGCAGCCCTCCCCAGCCTGGACCACGTCCATGGGATGCCAGGGCTGTTTACAGCTTTGGGGTAACCAGTCTGTCTGGTCCAGGGAAGCAGGCAGATCTATAAGAAATCAAATACGCTTGTTCTTCTTTCCCAAGTTGGTCTGATAGGCTTGGGGATGGGGGCAGGGCCAAGAGCGGGAAGGATCAAAGCAGCTGTGGGAAAGCAAGGTAATGCAGATTCAGTCTCCTTTTTTCTAGCACAGGGCCTTGCTCGGTCTAGGCAAGTGCCCCACTACAGAGCTACGTGCTAACTGGTCCGGGCTTTGAAGCCTCCAAAGCCTCCCCAGGGGGCTGCCATGGCAACCAGAGCTGAGAACATTGGTCCCCCTCCTCCTGCTCGATCGCTGTAGCACACTGCTGTAAACAGCCTGCGTCTCCTCTCACTTTGCTGACCTTAGGGAAGTTGCTTATGGTCTCTGTGCCTTGACTTTTCATCTGTGAAATGGAAACTCCTGATTCTTAAAATAGTGCCTGGCCCATCACACGTGCGCACACACACACACACACACACACCTAGAATATCAGCTAACAAACTTCAGCAGGCCTCTTCACAGAGATCCATCACATACTCAATGATGCTTTTTTTCCCTCTCGAGACAGCCTGTCTCTGTAGCTTTGGAGCCTGTCCTGGAACTTGCTCTGTAGACCAGGCTGGCCTTGAACTCACAGAGATCAACTTGTTGCTGCCCATCAAGTGCTGGGATTAAAGGCGTGCATCATCACCACCTGGCTTTAATGATGCTTTGTTTAAATGGTGTCTCATTATGCAGCTCTGGCTGGCCTGAAACTCATGATGTAGACAAGGCTGGCCTTGAACTCACAGAGATCTGCCTCCTCTGCCTCCTGAGTGCAAGGATTAAAGGTTAGCTCCACCACGCCTAGTTCAGGATGATTTGTTTGGTTGCTCCACAGAGCGCTTCATGACAGGTATAGTGGTACATGCCTTTTATCCTAGCATTTGGAGGGCAGAGGCAGAGGCAGGTGGATATCTATAAGTTCAAGGCCAGCCTGGTCTACAAAGAGAGTTCCTGGACAGCCAGGGCAATGTAGAGAGACCCTGCCTCAAACAAATAAGCAAAAAACAAAGTGCCCTTCACAAAACCAAGTGACCCCTCTGGGGAAGCATATAGGTCCCCTCGCTGGGGGGCGGAGCTGGAGAAGCGTGTGGCTACACAGCAACACATCTGTGCGAATAAAAGCCTGGTGGGCAGCTGAGTAGGGGCTAACACCCTACAGCACAGACAGACACCTGAGCTGAAGCCTGGAGGTCACGCTGACCAATCCCCAATGTCCCCAGACAGGGACTGTTTTTCTGGGCTTTGTCTGGCAATATGAAGGGTGGTTTCATGGCGGGTAGAGAGGGGCCGAGGGGACTATGACTTGAGATGTAAAGGAAAATGACATCATTTGCTCTTTGAGGAGATCAGATTCCAAGGCTATACCCCCTCTCCTGAAGAGGTGCTGGAGTCCTCCCCAAACCTCATTCAGCCTTCCCCAGGCTCCCTCTGCAGCTGCTGACAATGAGCATCTATGTAACCTGCAAGGAGCATGTTTACACAGTAAAGAACCAGGAGACCTGGGTGCCAGGGAAGTGGGGTCTGGAGAGGCCAGCTGCTGAGGCTCCCCTTTGAGTTTTCTTGGGGCCTGACTACATTAATACAGAGCAGCCTTCATGCTCACAGACCACAGTGAGTGTGTGCTTACAGGTCATAGACACTGTGTGCATACAGAAAAGGGGTGGTAAGGAAGAGCATGTGACCTGGAACAAATCTATGGCCAAGCCTCTCCTGGTTTGAAGGTCCAGCATCACTTGGGAGTCTGGTAGAAGCACAGAACCTTGGGCCCCACTCCACACCTACTGAACTGCAGTCACAGGAGTGGCCGGCAGCATCTGGCTCCTAACACATTCTCCAGGGCACTCTTGGATGATGGGTATGAAGGTCACAGGCAGAAGACAGATGCTGGCGGTGAGGACATTTGGTCAGTTCAGTACTCCTGCATCCACTATGGCTTGCCAACTCTGAGGTCTGTTTCCTGGCAACTTGCCAGCAAGGATAAACTCCACGATTCAAGGCCTGTCTCCTGGACTGTTATTGGCTCTGCTTAGAGGATACCAGGTAGGGCTCCTAGGCCTGGAGCCTCCATTATTGGACTTTTGTACTCTTGAGAAATTCCTTGGAGGGCTGCAGCTCCTCCTTGAAATGTGGGCACGACAAGGGAGGGCTACTATGCTTTATTGCATGTATTCTCTGAGCTGTAAATAAAGAGGTGACAATTGCTAAGCCATGTCTTGACCCTGTTCTTCCAGGAAATGGTCCGTCTAGCTGGCAGGGAGCATTGCCAGAGCCTTGAGAGGGGACCCTAAGCCTAGTATTTCCCTTGTCATTTGCTACTTACTTGATGTGATTGAGGTCTGCTCTGAGCAAGCAAGGCAAGTGTGGTTCCTCTCTCACCTGGACCTCGCCCATCACTTAGGTCCTTTACTTAGATGTTGAGGTCTGCAGGGCTGGAGCAGCTGAGGTGTCCAAGGGGACTGGGGGTGCTGGTCACCCTGCAGTTGCAGCAGCCACTTCCTTCAGGGTGGTGCAGGACAAACACTGTCCTTGCAGGGCCTGGGGGTGGGCTCAGATGCCACCTTGGGAAAGCTTGTGAATTGCTTGCTGTGGCCTGGTTTGGTGCCTGAGAGAATGTCTTATCTGGGTACCATTCCAGTCTGCTCACCAGGTCCTCTCAGGTCTGGCTACCAGAGCAGTTCTGACTCTAGTGGCAATGGCTTTGGTATCCCAAAGTCAAGGCAGAGCCCAGATGTAGGCTGACTTTTCTTTCCCACCAGTCAGGTCCCAAATAACCACACAGAGACTTAATGTTAATTATAAATGCTGGGCTGATAGCGTAGGCCTGTTTTTTGTTTTTTTTTAAGCTAGCTCTTATAACTTAAATCAACCCATTTTTATTTATCTATGTGCTTCCCCAAAGCTCATTTACTTCATCCACATATTTCCTGCTTGCTCTGTGTCTTATGGCATCTCCTCTGATTTTGCCCTTCTTTCCAGTATTCTCTCTGCCCCCAAAGTCCTGCCTAGCCATTGACAATCAGATTTGTATTAGCAATGAGAGCAACATGTCTTCATCATGCACAGAAGGATTATTCTACAGCATCCAGACACTTTCAGAGCCTGATGTCCTTGCAAGACTTCCCTGCCCAGCTGTGCAGAGTGGGTGGGGACCAGCTTTCCCAAACCTAGAGTTTCTTAAATCATGAACCTCTGCCAGCCAGATCCAGCATCCTTCAAGAGACCCTGGATTTCTGAAACTATAGGGCCTCTGGCTCAGTGTCTCTAGAGTGACATTGGGACTTGGCCTGTTTGATCTTAGAACTGCAGAGTTCTACACCAAACCTCATTGTGCCTCTGCCCTGTGAGCCAAGATACTCCATCTGAGGGTGTCTGTGGCCTGGGCATGGGTCTCAGAGGTCTGGTGGCTGCACTGGAGGTAGATCTGTCTGCTTACTAAAGAAACAGAACCAAGCTAGGCCCAGTGGCTCCGTGCCTACAATCCCAGCCCTTGGGTGATGGAGGCAGAAGGAGCAGAAGTTCAATGTCACCTTCTACATAATGAGCTTGAGGCTAGCCAGGATGACGTGAGACCTTGTCTCAATCTGAAAAATAAAACAAAATATTTGTATTTATAGTCATATGCTTTTA